TACCAAAGACCATTTTTTGCAATGCAAAATGCAAAAATCCAGCCTGTGTTGCTCCTTTGAGACATGACTGATTCGGGTAGCTTTTTAATCCTATTCACCACTAATGGAGAAGGAATTGAACATCACTTGTCACTGAACACATGTATCATGTAGCCCCGGTCATCCTGGAACTCACTTTGTAGACCAGGCTAACCTCGAGTTTGGAGATCCATCTGCCTCTGCTTCCCAAGTGCTGGGATTAAAGGTGTGTGCTGCAACATCCATCTCAAAAAAAAAAAAAAGTAATTTTTAAAATTATTTATTTATTTATTTTTATTGGGGAATGGGTCTCTAGGAGGTGGTCCTGGGGCCCCCCCAAAAAAAGTATTTTTAAAAGAAATTTGTTCTGTGGGGTGAGGGATTTTGTAACTTATCTTTTTTTTTTCTGCCTAAAACTGTAGCAAACCATTCTACTATAGGTTCAGTGGTTAAGAGTATATGCTGCTTCTCCAGAGGACCTGAGTTAGAGTCCCAGTACCCATATAGTGATTAACTGTCTGTAACTAAAATTCCAGGGATGACCCAGCTAGTAGGAGCCAGGTGGATGGACCATTTCAAACCAGAGCACTGGAGCGGGCTGAGAAGATGCTCAAGAGTCCAATACTCTCTCCTAGATTTCACGGGCACCAAACATGAATGTAGTAGTACACAGACATGCATGCAGCCAAAACATACATACACATAAAAATATTAAAAATAAACTTTAACTAAAAATTATATTACAGTGTAATGTACAAATCATATTGCTATACATAAAACAAATTGCGAGTCTAAGCCACTTGGTCAAAGATACTTTGTATCAGAACAGTCAGGACCATAAACCATCTAGCTCCCAGCTTTCCCAACTCCTGCCTTTACTGGCATCACATTTTTTATTTATAAGTGACACTTGACATGGAAACTTCAGGCCCTCCCAGCCTGGTTCTGCCTTCCTGTAACCCTAGCTACTTAGGAGGCTGAGGCAAAGGGGCCAGAGGCTGAATGAAGTCCAGGCTGAGTAACTGAAGGAGACAGCTTGTCAAAAGGAAAGGGCTGAGTGTAGCTCAGCGGTAGAGCCTCTGCCTAGCACGCAAGAGGGCTGTGATTACAGTTCCTAGTATTGTAAAATTAAACAAAGAGCTGAAAAGATGGCTCAGCGGTTGAGAGCGTAACTACTCTTACAGAGGACCAGAACTGAAGTCCAAGCACCCACTTGATGGCTCACAATAGTCTGTAACTCCAGTTCTAGGGGACTTAAGGTCCTCTTATGGCCTCCTTGGACACTGCACACCCGTGGTGCACAGACATACATGCAGACAAAATACTCATACACATGGAGGGTGGGGAAGCACAAGAATCTTTTTAAAAGGAAGGAAGGAAGGAAGGAAGGAAGGAAGGAAGGAAGGAAGGAAGGAAAAAAGGAAGGAAAAAAGGAAGGAAGGAAGGAAGGAAGGAAAAAAGGAAGGAAGGAAGGAAGGAAGGAAGGAAGGAAGGAAGGAAGGAAGGGTGAAAGAAAATCTCTCCGTGAATTGAAAACGTACAGGAAGCAAAATAAACAACTGCAAAACCAGAAACCCTACAAGAAAATAAAGGAAAGACAATATGTGGACGGTGGCATCTCTCGTGTAATAAAATAAAGGAGAGAGTGCCACCGGCGCGCCATCCAGGACTTGAAAGAAAAGGGAATGAAAAGAGGGGCTTCTGCCCAGCAAGCAAGCATCCAAGCCTAGGATTTGGGAAAGCCCACATGAGGGCGGGACGTGAGTCCAGTACGCCCATTGGGCCTCCCACTGACTTATTTGCATGGTCCGAGCGGGGCGGGGCCTCGGCTGAAGTCACCCGAGGACTGCTTAGGAGGCTGCTGCTCCTTAAGCTCCGAGCAGCAACGCGGGGAGCAGAGCTGAGCTGCAGCGCCACCCGGAGCGCCGAGCGCCATGTATGACCCGGAGCGCCGCTGGAGCCTGTCGTTCGCAGGCTGCGGCTTCCTGGGCTTCTACCACGTCGGGGCTACGCTATGTCTGAGCGAGCGCGCCCCGCATCTCCTCCGCGATGCGCACACTTTCTTCGGCTGCTCGGCCGGTGCACTGCACGCGGTCACCTTCGTGTGCAGTCTCCCTCTCGGTGCGTCCACGTCCACTACCCAGGCCTCGCGTGCGGGGAGGGGTTGCTCCACCTGGGAAATCGGTAACACTATCGGGGTGACCGAAGAAACTTGTCTGGAGAGCTCTCACCCTTCCCAGTGTCGTTGGGCACCTAGCTGGAGACCCGTGGCCTGTCACCTGGCGTGGGATTTCCCGGAGCTGGCGGGAGCAGAAGCGTTCTGCACGGGAGACTCTCGAGCATCTTCTTTCCGGCGCGCTCTGGCGCTCTGGTTTGAAATGGGACCCCCCACTTGGGTCCTGCCAGCTGGGTCATTCCTGAGCAGCAGGGAACGACGCAGGTTTGCGGGGTCCTCTGGTCCCTAAGCCGCAGAAGGTTTGTCCTGTGTGGCTCTGGCTAGTGTCCCATGGTGGGTGCCGCCAGGAGGGGTAGAAAGCATCCAGACTAGAACACTCTTGGTGGCAGTCCAACCCTTCAGTCGCCTTTAGAGGTGGCTGCTGGGGGCGGGGTGCGTGGGTTAGAGAACTATTTGGAACACTCCCTAGAAGCTGGAATGGGTTCCCAGACAGGTCCAGTTCCACCCTCTCCTGTTTTCACTAGCCTGGGCAAGCGGCCCTTCCCAGATCGATGTCACTGGCAGTGACATTCTGGGCATTTGAATCTTGGCCTAATTAAACATTTGCCAGTGCACCCATGAGGTGAGTTTACTCTCTCCTCTCCCCCTGAACTACTAGGATGCGATGCCCTCCCTCCCCAGTGTCATAGCTGGATGCTTCTGAGATTGTGGGCGGGGCTTGGCTAAGTGCCCACGGGGGAACTGCTGACACCCAAAGGTCCCCAGGCTGCATGATAATGTCCTGCATCAACCTTCATTGATCTGGGCCTCTTTAACACTACTCTTTGCTCTGCTGGCCACAGACAGCAGGGAGAGACTTTGGCAGGCAGGGGGAAGCCCCTGCTGATGAGCTGATCTCTGCCATTGGGTAGAACCAGTGAGCAGACCCTGAGCTGATGAGACTCAGGGATTAGAAGATAAGTAAATCTGGCTGTGTGCCTGCTTGTCCATCTTCCCCAGTGAGGGAGGAAGCCAGGAGTAAAGGGCAATAAAAGTGACCTCTGGAGAGACTAGATCAGCCCAATGGCCATTGCACACCCTGGCTTCAGCACTAAAGGCAGTGAGGGCTCTGAGCCCCAATGAGGATGGATGATTATTGGGGCCAGGTTTAAATACATTGACCCCAGGAATCTTTTTTTTTTTTTTTTTTTTTTTTGGTTTTTCGAGACAGAGTTTCTCTGTATAGCCCTGGCTGTCCTGGAACTCACTCTGTAGACCAGGCTGGCCTCGAACTCAGAAATCCGCCTGCCTCTGCCACCCAAGTGCTGGGATTAAAGGCGTGTGCCACCACTTCCCGGCAGACCCCAGGAATCTTAAGTACACCCACTTTCATACAGAGCAGTGGTTCTCAACCTGTGGGTCACAACCTCTCTGGGGGTCCAATGACCCTTTCTCACAGGAGTCACAACCCTTTCCCAGGAGACCTAAGACCACTGGAAGACAGATATTTATGTTATGATTCATAACAGCAAAATTACATTATGAGTATCAACAAAAATAATTTTATGTTTGGGTGGGGCACCAAAACATGAGGGACAAGGAAGGTCAAGAACCACTGATAAAAGGGGTGTTTGTAACTACACAAAAGACAGGGGTAGCCTGAGGCTGTCCTGTCAGGTCACAGAGAGGGCAAAACTACAGATTAGCTCTAGTGGGAGCTGCTAAGGTGCTTTGCCCGGGGCTTGGAATGGGCACAGGTGTTTGGGGCATCTGAGTGTTTGGCTGGACTTGTCAGAGAGGTAGGTGCGATGGCCACCAGTGTGTGTATTCATCTTCAAGCCAGGATCAGCAATGGGGCAGGGTTTGCTGGGAGTCAGAGTTAGAGTTGGATCAGGCTGGGATATCCCTGTCCTTTTGGAACAAGGATTCATGTTGTAAGTGCCAGGGCAGAGTGGATTGGCCAAAGCGGGCTGGTCTGGAGAGTGAGGGCAGATGGAACGTGAGTATGCCTTGTACGGACTGTGCAATCTGGGAAGTCTGGGCTTAGAGGCTTCCGTGGAGACCAGCCACTTAAGCAGCCTCTTCTGGGTTGAGCATTTTATAGATGTTATTTTACGCCATCCTTTCTGTCTCCAAAAGTGAATACATTGTTTACTCTCCTTGAAAAAGGGCAGTCTAGCGGCTGCGGAGATGCCTCAGTGATTGAGATCACTGACAGCCCTTGCAGAGCAGCTGCTTATCAACTTACTGACCACCTATAATTCTAGATCCTGGAAAAGTGATGCTGTCTTCTGGCCTCTGTGGGTCTTTGCACACATGTGGCGCACATAAGCTCCTGTACACATGTGCATGTAAATAATCTCATTTAAAAGATTATTTAGAAATTTAAAGTCAACGTGCAGTCTAGACAGATGGTGGAGTGCTCTCCACTGTAAGGGGTAGAGGTCAGATCCACATGTAAGTCCAGGCCTGCATTATTTCTTCTGTACCTTCTGATGTTGAGTCCATTTGTGCCAAGGGTGGAATGCTGATGTGTTGGTGGCTTGTGGCTTTATGGACACGTAAGTGGAGTGTCTCATGTGCATGGGCCACTGGAAGGCCTATCCCAGCACCATCCGAGAAATATACACCACATACCATACAGGCTATAATTTTTAGTTGCTCCATTGAATAAAGTCAGACAGCCGGGTGGTGGTGGCGCACGCCTTTAATCCCAGCACTTGGGAGGCAGAGGCAGGCGGATTTCTGAGTTTGAGGCCAGCCTGATCTACAGAGTGAGTTCCAGGACAGCCAGGGCTACACAGAGAAACCCTGTCTCAAAAAACAAACAAACAAACAAACAAACAAACAAAGAATAAAGTCAGACAAAGGTGAAAATGATTTTTTGAGTCACACCCAGAATATTACCACTTTGTAATGACTCTAATTACTGTTAATGAGATAATGTCACCTAGTAAACCTTTGGAATATAGGGTGTCACCTATAACCGCCTTGAATGTACCCAATCATGACCAAAACACAGGGTGTGCTTTATGGTGTCTTAACTGGGGCCAGCCACAGTTCAAGGGTCCTGTGTGTTCTCCGATGTGGTACCCTGTTCTATGTGTTTGTCCTCTGTCCCCAGACTACATAATGGAGATCCTCATGAACCTCGTACGGAAAGCCAGGAGCCGTAACATCAGCACCCTCCACCCGTTCTTCAACATTAACAAGTGCGTCAGAGATGGGCTGCAGGAGACCCTCCCAGACAACGTCCACCAGCTCATTTCTGGGAAGGTTTACATCTCCCTCACCAGGGTGTCGGATGGAGAGAATGTGCTGGTGTCAGAGTTCCATTCCAAAGATGAAGTGGTGGATGTAAGCATTTTGCCTCCCTGGGTGTGGTCACATGAAATTGCAGTATAGGGCTGTCATTGTCTCACTGGACTGGGGCCATGGGAATGCTACACATTCAGAGACTTTGTCTGGTCACCCGGAAGCCTTATCATGCCAGGACTCTTTAATTCTCTTAATTTTTCCAGTGCTGGGAAGGGAGATAGGGTTTTGGTCACACCAGGCAAGTGCTTGACTGTGCAGCTGCACCCTACCACAAGTTTTCTTTTTTGTTTTTTTAAGACTCAGAGAACTGGTTTGGGTGTGCCCCACACCTCGGCATATGCATGTTATGCAGTAAGGTTGGCTTTTTGAATGAAGCTTCTCCAGGGTGAGACCATTCTTGTTTGTTTCTATTGCCTGTTCTTGTACAGAGAAGATCATTTTTGCCATATCAAAATGCCACATTTGGCATATATATATGCTTTTTTTTTTTTTTTTGGTTTGGTTTTTCGAGACAGGGTTTCTCTGTGTAGCCCTGGCTGGCCTGGAACTCACTCTGTAGACCAGGCTAGCCTCGAACTCTCGAACTCAGAAATCTGCCTGCCTCTGCCTCCCAAGTGCTGGGATTAAAGACGTGCGCCACCACCGCCCGGCTCATATATATGCTTTTTATAGTTCTTGAATGAATGACTACATTTGAGTCCCTATGAGGCTGAACAAGTGTCCAGCAGCCCTGCGTGCAGTCTGGTCCTCCATTCAAGTTTCTAGTAGCTTCTGAACTGCGGACACCTCTCTGTTCTCAACGGACAGCGTGTTGTCCAGAACAGTGATTCTCACAGTGTGGTCTAGGGAACCACTGTTCTATATGGCCCCCAGCTGGCTTCAGGAGAGCTCTAAGGGCGGGCGCAGGGTCTTCCTGTAGAGCCTAGGTGAGATGCATCATTCCAGCCCCTTATGCCACCAAGTCAGCAATGATGTGGTCAGCCTGAGGATTAAGGACAGAAGATTGAACTGTGTGGACAGTAAAGCTAAGGGGCTGGCATTGCTGCTAAGACCCAAGGGCCTCAAATACAGTAGTGAGTGTCATTCATTCACCCAGGTATTAAATAAAACCTACTGTCACCAGGAGGCAGAGGCAGGTGGATCTCTGTGAGTTCAAGTCCAGCCTGGTCTACAGAGCAAGTTCCAGGACAGCCAAGGATACAAGGAGAAACTTAATCTTGGAAAAACCAAACCAACCAACCAAACAACAGCCAAAAACAAAACAAAACAAAACCCTACTGTGTGCAGAGAGCATTTCACTTGTGCTGCTCACCTGGGAAGCGCTGTGCCCTCTGACAGTCTACTTTTTTCTCACAGGCCCTGGTGTGCTCCTGCTTCATCCCTCTCTTCTCTGGCCTAATCCCTCCTTCCTTCCGAGGTGAGGTAAGTGTTGGGGGTCGCTGGGCAGCCGAGTGTTTGAGGTCCCCATTTGTAGTGAGCTGGGCTCTGACTCCTATGACTGTATCTAACCCTAGAGCTGGGATCTTCAGTCTCGAGGACAGAAGCTGAGCTAGGCATTCCCAGCAGACTGACACAGACTTACACCCTCCAGGAGTTTCCTCCACCTCCTGTCTGCTGTCTGTCAGGTACACTGGCTTGGCTCCCTTAATCTGCTCTTGAGTACCCTAGGAAGCCTCTTGGTGGCCTAATTTGAGTATAAGATGCTTAAGAATTAAATTACTCTTGTTAGGCAGTTGATTTTCATGGGACTATGGGCTAGCTGTCTATTTCTTTTTTTAATCTTGTAGACAGGGTCTTTCTATGTAACTTTGGCTAGAATTCTCTAGGTAGACCAGGCTGGCCTTAAACGCACAGAGTCTTGACTCTGCCACCTAAGTACCAAGACTAAAAGACAAGCAAGTGTCATCACACCCGACAGTGAATCAATCTACATTTTCTTTTGTTGTTGTTGTTTAAGTTTCTTGATATGTGTGAGTATCTGCCTGAGTGTATGTACCGTGTGTGTTCTTTGTGGGAATAGCCCAGAACTAGGCTGCTAGGGAAGCTAGTGATTAAGCACACCTTCGACCTTGATACTGGTCCCCAGTTATCTTGTGACATAATATAGGCATGTGATCTTTCCAGAACTAAGTGGAAGGGACCTAGGAGCATTGTGGCGATGTCCATACACTCTTAGAACGCACGCCTGGATTTTCCTCTAGACAGGAGAGTCAAGAGTTCAAGGTCAGCCTTAGCTACATAAGACTCTGTCATGACACAGTGACTTCCACAGGTAATCCTAGCAATCAGGGATGGAGGCTGGAGGATCATGCGTTCAAGGCCAGAGTGTAACCCCCTTTTCAAAAGAAAAGTATTACAGGAAAGCAGGCTCAATTGAATACCTTGTCCTAGATCTCCCAAAGGGAGTCTGGTTTTGAACCTATGGCCATGTGTCTCCTTGGTGCAGGGTTCATATCACATACTATCCCTAGTATATATAATACCCTTTGTTTATATGGTCCCTTTATGCACACAATAAGGACTCACCTATGGGTGTCCACCCAGCATTAGGACTTGGGAAGCATACCATGGAGTGGACACTCATCGCCATGAGTCTCTCTCCCTGGCATGGCGGACATCCTTTGCAGCAGCACACAGCAACCTTGAAAGTCAGGAAGAAGGTTCCTGGCAGAGTGGTTCCCAGACCACCATATTGGCTGCAATGTCTTGTAAAAACACTTAAACACAATCTCCTCCCTCTTCCCTTCCTTACAGCGGTACGTGGATGGAGGAGCGAGCAACAACGTCCCTGTGCTAGATGCCAAAACCACCATCACGGTGTCCCCTTTCTATGGTGAGCATGACATCTGCCCCAAGGTCAAGTCCACCAACTTCTTCCATGTGAATATCACCAATCTCAGTCTCCGCCTCTGCACCGGGAACCTCCATCTTCTGACCAGAGCACTCTTCCCACCGGATGTGAAGGTGAGCTGGGGTGCCACTCTCTGCACCCCAGATAGCTGAGGACACTAGTTAGTCTCTCCATGAGCAGACAGAAAGAGATTATGCCATGGTGGTGACTCAGAAAGATTGCTGTCCTAGAGCTGGGCGATCATCCCCCTGGCCACAGGCTCTACCAAGAATCACATGGACAGACGTTGAGTTCAGACTCACCTTCAGGGATTCGGGGCTAAGAAGTCATGGGTAGGGGATGGTGTCTACATTTCTTTTCCTGTGGTTATGATTTTTTAAAAAAAATCCTGACAAAGGGAAGTTTTCTGAAAAAAAAAATTTTTATTCAGTTCAAGGCACAGTCCACGATAACAGGGAAGTCTGGAGCTTGTGGCAGTGGGTCACATGGAGTCCACAATCAGGAAGCAGGGTGCGATGAATGTGTGCCCAGCTTCCCTTCTCCACGTGTAAAACCCAGGATCCCAGCCTGGGAGTGGAGCCACTCACAGTGGGTGGGGCTTCCTGCCCCAACTAACACAGTCATGATAAACTCCCACAGGCCTGCTTAGAGTCCTGTCTCCTAGGTGAGTCTAGATTGTATCAAGTCAGCAGTTGGCACTACCCATAGAAGGGTAGGTGGGTGATACATACCTGTATTCCAGCACCCAAGAGACTGAGGCAGGGGGGTAGAGAGCTTGAGTTAAGTCTGGGCTTCCTGGAAAGACCCTTCCTTAAAAAACAAAACAAACAAACAAACAAACAAAAAAACAAAATTGAGGGCTAGAGAGATGGCTCAGCAGTTAAGAACACTGACTACTCTTCCAGAGGTCCTGAGTTCAATTCCCAGCAACCTCATGGCAGCTCACAACAATAATGGGATCTGATGCCCTCTTCTGGCATGCAGGCATACAAGTAGACAGAGCACTCATACATAAATACATAAATAAATAAAGTTTTTGTTTTGTTTTGTTTTGTTTTGTTTTGTTTTGAGACAAGGTTTCTCTGTGTAGCTCTGGCTGTCCTGGAACTCACTCTGTAGACCAGGCTGGCCTTGAACTCAGAAATCTGCCTGCCTCTGCCTCCCAAGTGCTGGGATTAAAGGCGTGCGCCACCACTGCCCGGCAATAGATAAAGTTTTTTTTTTTAAATGTTTTTAAAAAATGAACTAGAAAGATGGCTTAGAGGTGAAGAACATTCTCTGCTCTCGTAGAGGACCTGAACTTGATTCCTAACACCCATGACGGGTACACAAAGCCTGTAACTCGAACACCAATGCCTGTGGCTTCTATGAGTACCTATATACACATGAGCATACCTATATATGCTGGGCAATGGTGGTGCATGTCTTTAGTCCCAGGGCTTGGGAGGCAGAGGCAGGCAGATCTCTGTGAGTTTGAGGCCAGCCTGGTCTACAGAGCTAGTTCCAGGACAGCCAGGGCTACACAGAGAAACCCTATCTCAAAAACAAAAACAAACCCTCCACCAAAAGAAAATACATATTAAAAAAATAATAATAAATCTTAAAAACACAACCACAAACAAGGTGCGGTAGTGCATTCCTTTAATCCTAGCTCTCAGGAGGCAGAAGCAAAAGGATCTTTGTGACTTTAAACTAGGGCTATAGAAAGAGACCCTGCCTCAAAAACAAACAAACAAAAACAAACAAAAAACCCAAAAAAACCATGGGCCCTTAAGATGGCTCAGTGTGTAAAGGCGCTGGCTGCCAAGTATGACAAAGTTTATTCTTGGGAACCCACAGAGCAAGAGAAAGTAATTTCCTGTAAATTGTTCTCTGATTTCCATGTGCACGCATGGACACACACACACACACACTAGATATTTGAAATGAAACAGGCAAGGCCCCAGACATTTCGATTTTCTCTTTTCGTGTGGTATTGAAGATGGATGGAGGTCATGGCCTCACATATGCCAGGCAAAGGCGGAGCACTGAGCCATGCCCCCAACCCTCACTGGTGGATTATGGGTAAGGCCTCATAGCTGAGCCACACCTCCCATGTCCTCAGTTCTGGGCAAGAGCTACACTGGTGAGCCATGCTCCCAATTCAGAACTCTTTTCATGTTGGTTCCTGACAAGATTCCGATTTATACCCCATCAAGGAGCCACCACAGCCAGGGGGTTCTCTTTTCTGATGGGTCCTTTAGTGCAGCGACCATGTCTCCGCGGGTCTGTTGAGAGAACCTGGCCACCTATACCCAAGTTTCTCACCAATCATGATGTTCAATGGTGACCGTCCAGGGACAGTTAGGGTAGTACCGTGTTGGCTACAGTGCCAAGGCTTAGCCCCAGGCCGAGGCTGTGTGGAACACTCACTGCTCCTGTTGGCAGAGTATCTGTAGAGAAGACATTGGAGCTGAGACCTGGGGAGGCACAGAGTTAGGTAGACCCTCTCATGGGGCCTCCACGCCTTGGATGTCCTAGGTCTTTAGAGGGCATGGCAGTCACAGCCCAGTGGTTCACCTGCCTGATTTGCTCGCAGGTGATGGCAGACCTGTGTTTTCAAGGGTACCTGGACGCCTTCCGGTTCCTGGAGGAGAACGGTAGGTCCTGCCTAGGGGTTACTGCAGAGTCTTTCAGTTCTGTCATCCAGCCTCATGGCTTTCCCTGAGGCTCACTTTACCCGCTTCTCAGCCCTGTGGGATAGGGAACCTTTGCCCAGGTTTTAGATGGCTGGGGAGGAGAGGCCAGCAGGGCAGGGGCAGCCATCATGATACAGAGCTGGGATGTGAACCTGGGAAGACTGACCGCACTGTAGGGCCCCTCCTCTGCAGGCAGCTTGGTTTTCTTTGGGCTCTTTTGCGAGCCCTTAGCATAATGGACTGTTTGACAGGGCTCCAGGGCAGTTTCCAGATGAGGGTGTCAAAATCTGCTCCCTAGCCAAATGTGGGTCCCACCCAGATGAGACTTCTTCCCAGCAGGCACCTGCCCCTGAGTCATCCAAGCTTACCTGGGTGACCAGGTTGGACTCTGCATATGTAGTCACACAGTGGGATGGCATGTTGACATCGTGACTGTCTCAGTTTACACAGGCATGTCCTATAATCACACAGAGAGGAAAGCCAGCCCTTCTTAAAACATGTCCATGCCATAAGCCGGGCCTGGTAGCATGGGCCTGTCATCTCAGCTACTCAGGAGGCTGAGGCAGGAGGATTGTAGTTCAAGGCCTAGCTTGGTTGCCAAGAGAGCTGAAAACCAGCTAGCCTAGGCTACTTAGTAAGACTTCGTGCATATGTGTGTGTGTATGTATGTATGTGTATATTTGTATGTATGTATGTTATATATATGTGTGTGTGTATACATATGTATGTATTAAGTATATATGTGTGTTTGTGTGTGTATATATAGCCATATACATATGTGGCTAAGGCTATAGCTCAGTGCTAGTGTTAGTGTGCATGCCTAGTATATAGAAGGCCCTGGGTTCAGTCCTCAGGCCCATCAGGAAAAGAAAGGAAGAGAAGGAAAAGAGGGAAAGGGGAAGATAAAAAAGGAGGATTAGTAGAACATTTGACCAGCATGTGTGGCATAGAAACACATTTATGGAGACAGAGGAGAAGATATTTTTGTAAGGACAGATGTACATTTATAACAGAAAGCATTCCTGTATGCTGAACCAGGTCACCACAGAGCCATGGCAAGAGAGTCTGCAGCCTTAGAGCCAGCCTGAGCTATCTAGTGAGACCTTGGCTCAAAGGGAAGAAACAAAAAGCACAAGAGAAGAAGAAAGACAGAGTCAAAGAGAGAAAGAGAGACAGGGAATGGATGTGGCACTGCCTGCCTCTCAGTACTTGACAGCCACGTGACAGAGGGTTTTATCTTGGACACCAGAACTGTCTCTGCCAAATAACAGCCGTGTGACTTTGAACAAACGTCTGTGCTTGTGATTCCTCAGCTGACGGTTGTCTTAGTTGGGGTTTTATTGCTGTGAAGAGACACCATGGCCATCGCAAGTCTCATAAAGGGAAACATTTAATTTCCTTCACAAAACATTCCATTTTTCTGAAATGGCTGACAGTTCACAGGTTTAGTCCGTTACATCGTGGCAGGAAGCATGGCCACTGTCCAGGCAGACATGGTGCAGGAGATGGAGTTGAGAGTTCCACATCTGGATTGGCAGGCATCAAGGAGAGACTGTCACACTGTGTGTTGCGTTGCTTAAACATATATGACCTCAGAGCCTGTCTCCACAGTGACAGTGACATACTTCCCATAACAAGGCCACACCTACTCCAACAAGGCCACACCCACTCCAACAAGGCCACACCCATGCCAACAAGGCCACACCCATGCCAACAAGGCCACACCTACTCCTATGAGGCCACACAATAGGAATCAAACACTTGAGACTGTGGGGGGCCATTCCTATTCAAACCACCACACAAGTAGACCGGATGATTCTGGTAGCTGTTGAATGACCACTGACTGCTGTTGTTCAGGGCCTGGATTTTGTGCTCATCCTGTGAGAGAAGAGCTATTTGTTCATTGTAGTATTTTACTTTAAAGCTTGTGAACAACAGTTGCAGAGAGACTCTTACACAGCTAGAGAGTGAGCTAGCGAGCCGGGCAGGAACCACAAACCACACTCCCATCGGCCCAGCTGCACACGCCATATTCCTCTCTGTTCTGCTGAAAAATCACAAGCACAGACGCTTGTTCAAAGTCACATGGCCATTAGTTGGCAGAGCCAGCTCTGGTGTCCCTTACCGCACACCCTGCATGGGATTGTAGCAAGTGTGCCGTGCTGTGTTGATTCACCTTCCCCGCTGTCAGGAGCAGAGTGGGACCGGTAGAGGAACACAGTCTCCCATCTATCTCTCCCTTCACGGGTATCTCCGTGTTCTCTGCAGGCATCTGTAATGGACCACAGCGCAGCCTGAGTCTGTACTCGGAGGAGATGGTGCCAGAAGCCTGCTTGGAAAATGGCAACCTTGTGGGAGACAAGGTGCCAGTCAGCCTATGCCTCACAGCTGTGCCCTGTGATGAGAACATCTGGGAGATGCTGTCCCCCAAACTCAGCACAGGTACTGCTATTGTGGGGCAGGATGAGACTGGAGTGTGCCAATCAGTACAAGGGACTGGGCCGCCTGTTGTTTGTGAGGGGGAAAGGTACCACTTGTCCCACAAGAATTCTCTGGGGTTATGGGGACAGGCCATAGGGATATCACCATCTACTACACAAGCTGGCCACTGCCACCCATCCCTGTACCTTCTGCTATCCTTAGAGATCATGATCAGGAGGACAGCTGATGCAGTTGAGCCCAGTGTTACCCACACAGGCTCCAGCCCAGCAGCCAGGCCCAGGCCCACCCTGCCCAGCTGCCTCCCTACTGCCTCCAGCTATGTTAAGAGCCGTGGATATGAGGGAGGACCTGGGATCCAGCCTCAGTCTCCGAACTCTTCATTCAGAATGCCTTTGGAGTCACTGTTGTCTTCTTGTCCATCTGTCTGTCTCTCCTTAGCTCCCTCGTTCTTCAACCGTGGTTTTAAACCTCCATGTGATGTACTTTATCTTATTGGCTGTTGAGTAGATTCCAAATGTTCTAAATTTCTGTGTCCCTACAAATTCCTGTGCTGACAGCAGAATGGGGGGTTGTCCTTAGGAGGTGGAGGGTTTAAGGAAAACCTTAGCTACATCGTGAATTCCGAGTCAGCCTGGGCTACGTGAAATCCTACCTCAAGAACAAAAATAATTCTCATACTGAAATCCAAGCCCCCAAGGGGATGGTATTGGGAGGCAGGCATTGGAACAACTCCTGAGGGCAAGGCCTTCCAAATGAGACTGGTGCTGTAAAGAGGGCCAGACTGTGGTGGCGCACACCTTTAGTCCCAGCACCTGGGAGGCAGAGGCAGGTGGATCTCTGAGTTTGAGGCCAACCTGCTCTACAGAATGAGTTCCAGGACAGCCAGAGCTATATAGAGAAATGCTGTCTTGAAAAAAAAGAGGATTGGAGAGAAGGCTTGGCAGTTAAGAGCACTGACTGCTCTTCCAGAGGTCCTGAGTTCAATTCCCAGCAACTACATGGTGGCTCACAATCATCTGTAATGAGATCCAATACTCTCTTCTTGAAGGTAGCTACAGTGTACTATACATAAAATAAACAATTCTTAAAAAAAGAAAAAGAAAGAAAGAAGAAGAAGAAAAGAGGGTCAATGGATATCCTCCAGTCCTTCAGTCCACAGAAGTGCAACCTGGGCCATCACCAGACACCAGTGACTGCTGGCATCATAATAATTGGCCTTCCAGCATCCAAATCTGTGAGGAGGCCGTGTTTGTTGTTTATAGAAGTGGCTGGGTAACAGTGTGACAGTGGTCTGATCCACCAAGTCAGACAAAACAGACAGACTAGTCCACAAACCAGCTTCCTGCTTGGCCCAGGACAGGCTCAGCCTTGAATGGAACCCAGTGTCTGCCCTCCAGGCAGTAGCTGTTCTATGGGAGGTATCAGGTCATCAGGGGAAGAGCGAGCCAGCTGAGGAGTGCGGGTGTTGTCAGGGAAGTTGTGTACTCCCTCAAACTTATCTGGAAACACTGAAGAGTCATAGACCTAAACCTGTGCCAATAGCGGGGAGGGATAGTGGGAGAGGGGGAGCGGGGGAGGGAGAGCGAGTCTTACTATGTAGCTCACACCAGCCACAAACTTGAAATCCCCCTGCTTCAGTTTCCCAAGTGCTGAGATTAGAACCACCACACCTGGCTTGAGGCAGGTTTCTGATTACCTCAGCATCACCCTCGCTGTGAGAGAAATGGCTCACAAGCCCCAGCATGTTGGATCTGAGCAGCTGCCGGCCTTTTGGCTCCAGGCTTCCTGTCTTTCAAAGCTCATCTTTGAAAGAGGGGCTTGAATCCTGGTATTCTCAGGAGCTGTTCAGACTTATAGTCCCAAATTGCCTTTTTTCAGCTCTGAGTGAAGCGATTAAGGACAGGGGGGGCTACCTGAGCAAAGTCTGCAACCTCCTGCCTGTCAGGATCCTGTCTTACATCATGCTGCCCTGCACTCTGCCCGTGGAGTCGGCCATCGCTGCAGTCCACAGGTGAGCATCGAGGCATGGCGTGGTAGCCAGTGAGCTACCACAGAGCTCACTGTCAGAGAGTGGTGTCAGCCCAGGCTGGCTGTATGTCACAAGATGGAGCCCCTGGGAGAGGCCCTCCCTCCTTGAGCCATGGCTATATCCGCAGCGTGCTGTACGCTCTGAAGGCATCTGGAGACTCATGGCTTTTAAGTGTCATCGGGTCCTAACCATTCATCATCTCCTGGGGAAACTAAGAGGTAGAAGCCACCACTCTGTAGCTACCGAGCTGGTGAATTAGAAGGCCAGGCCTAGGAACAGGTCCTTTGCTGTCCCTTGGGCCTGTGTTTCAAATCACTGTACTGAACTGAGAGGCCCATTCCCCTCTGGCCATGGTTACATGATCTGAATCAGAGTCAGTAGTGAGGTGATCCTGGAACTTGGGAACGGGCTCCCTCTCAAACAGCACAGCAAGGCAGCAGCTCAGTTTAGTCATCAGAATAGCAGGCTGCATCCCTTCCACAGCTGTGTGGCCCTGGACTAATGAAGGTGCCCCTCTGGGCTTCAGCTTTCCAGAAGCAGAAGACTGATTGTGAGGTCCTGGGTGTGGAATAGTGTGCTCCCGTGTCCGGTTAGCAGTAGGGATTTGTTTTCAGGTTGACTTCCCTTGTTGGAAACTTCTGAGGGTTTGGTTTTGTTGTTGCTACTTTGGAACTCTGGGTATTTGCACAGACTTACCAGTTAAGCAAGTTCAAACAGGTAAACATCGCAGAAATGTTTTGAGCATCACACCAGTGCTCAGAAGGTTCAGACTTTTATACTGGGTGTGGTGCCACACACCTGTGGTCCCAGCACTCTGGGATGGAGGCTGAGGCAGAAGGGTCAGGAATTCAAAACTATCCTGGGCCACAGAGTTAGTCAAGGCCAGCTTGGGCTATGTATAGAGACCCTGTCTCATAACCAAAATGTGTCCAGGGATGGAGCTCGCTGGTTGAGTGGATAGTCGGCACAGTTCAGTCCACATGCTACTGTTAGGAAAGAGAAGGGAGGGAAGGAGAGAGAGGAAGGGAGAGAGGGAAAGGGGGGAAGAGAGAAAAGGAGAGGGGGAGAGGAGAACAAAGAGGGTGAGAAAGGGAGGAGGGAGAGGAAGGAAGGGAGGGAAGGAGAGGGAGAGAGGGAGAGGAAAAGGGGGAGAGAGAGAGGGAAAGGAGGAGAAAGAGAAAGGGAGAGAGAAAAAGAGGAAAGGAGAGGGGGAGGAAGGTAAGAGAGAGAGGGAGAGAGAGGGAAGGAGAGGGAGAGGGAGATAGGGAGAGGGAGGGAGGGAGGGAGGGAGAGAGAGAGAGAGAGAGAGAGAGAGAGAGAGAGAGAGAGAGAGAGAGAGAGAGGAAGTATGTTATTTAGAGGTTCTGGATGTGCCTTTTGCCCTGGACCTCTCCTGGTGTCCTTATCCTGTCCAATCTGGGCCGGTACCTCATGGACGTGACCCAGCCCAGCCCTTTCATTTCTTTGGATCCTGTCTCTTTTTCTTGGCATTTCCTTTGTTTTTCTGAAGTGGAGCCTTCCTAAATCCCCACGGAAACAGCGGTCTGCCAGCCTCCTTAGAGCCTCACCTGTTGCCTGCCCCTGACTGCTGGGCAGCTGCTCACAGACCTGCGGGCACAGTCTGTCCTCTGAGAGCCTAGCTGGGGTTTCCATGCGATTATCCATGACTTCCACCTGTTCTCCTCTGTGGCCTGTAGGTTCTTGGTCTTTCTGCCCCTCCTCAGCCAGTCTTTCATTCCACCTGGTTCTGACTTCTGAGTGCTGGGGTTAAAGGTGTGCACCATCACCTTCTCAGATTTACCTTCCGGTTCCACCCTCCGGGTTTTAACATTAGGAGCATGAGTGAACTTATCCACTCTGACTGGTCTTTTCTTCCGGTTCCTTTACTTGAGCGTTCTCATCTTGGTTTGTAGGTGCTGGGAGAGGGGCATTGAGGGTGTGTCTGTGGAAGTGGATGTGTCTGTGTGTTGAGGGGTAGTTCGACATCTATGTATGCATTGATTGATTGACTGATTTTGTGTCTGTGTGTGTGCCTGTGTGTGTGTGTGTGTGTGTGTGTGTGTGTGTGTGTGTGTGTGTGTGTTTTAACACAGGTTCTCACTGTTTGAAGAGGCAGGCTGTCCCTGAATTCTTGATCCTCCTGCTTTAGCCTCCAAGTGATAGATACGCACCACAGTGCTTAGGTGAGTGTTCTGGCATACCGCCTTTTCCAGCTATAGCAGGGCCACATCCTATGTGTGGCGGTCAGAGGACAACTCTCAGATGTTGGCTCTCTCCTTCCATTGTCTGAATCCTAAAAATCAAACTCAAGGTGTCAGGGAAGAAATGGTTCACAGGGCAGAAAACACTGGTACCCTGTGAACCATCTCTCTGACCCATGTGCTTGTACTTCTGAGACAGAATTTTAACTCTGTAGCCCAAGCTGGCCTACAACTTACTGTGTAGATCAGACTGACCTTAAACTCAAGTCAGACCTCTCTTGTGCATGCAGGGTGGGGATAAGGCATAATTCACCTCTCCCCCATCCCACTGCGATCTTATATCAGGGACATCAGCATCACTCCCTGCCTAGGAGCAATGCTGAGCCAGCCTGCTTCTGCAGGAAGCAGGTCTCCCTTGGGGGTGCTTCCTCCTTGTCCTTCCTGGAGGCTTGGATACAAGGCCAAGTTTGACTGTATTACCAGTGCTTTGCGGTGTCTGGTTCCCTCCCCTTCTGGCTGACGCTATGGAATCTCTTAGCCAGGTCAGCAGTTCACACATGCAGCCAGCTCAGCTGCTTAGGAAGCTAAGGCCCCTAAAAAAAGCCCAGGAGGTCTAGGCCAGCCTGTCAAGAACTCTGTGTGAAAAGAAATAAATAACCCAGGTCTGTCTCCCCGCTTCTCCTCACTTTGCTCTCTTGGCAAGCCTACTGCGCGTGTGTGGGTCCTATACCTCTGGATAGGACTTGCAGGAAGCTAGTCTTGTCTGTGTCCCCCTCATTTGTATCTCAGAGCATTTGTATCTTTAGTTTCTCCACCAAAATCCTGGGGCAGCTTTACTGATCCAGTGTCCCCCTTGAACAGCTTCTTCACCGACAAAATAAATCGAATTAAGTCAAAGTTGTTGTAAAAAGGCAGGTTTATTGGGGCAGGTCTGGGTTGGGTTCACCAACGTCACAGGAGGGGGAGGATCATTGAACTTGCCAGGCTGAGCTCCAGTAGAGGCTGCTGGGGGAGTAGGGGAGGGGAGTTGTGAAGTGATGGTTATTTGATAAGTTTAGGGCCCTTTAGGTGGGTCTTTAGGTCCAGTGATTACTTTGGAATCTGGAACTGGGAGCTGGCTTTGTCCAGTGTTTTGCATGAGCTTTTGCAAGCATGGGCTCCTGGTCAGAAGAGAAGGGATGGGGGAGGTGTGGTCTCTTGACCCATACCTTTGTTCCCAAACCTCCAGTCTACCACCCCTCTGGAGTCAGACTACTGCTCAGGGGAGGCTCTTACCAGCTACCTACCTCTTGCCAGAGTCTACAGATGGTTTTGGACCCTGTGGTGCTACAGTTGGATTCAGATTAGCCATGCATGGCCTCTGTGGAGCGCCCAGGCCTCGGCCAGCATTTGTGCCCATGTACATATATGTGCATTAGGTAGAACGACCCCAAGTTGCTGTCTTTCCTATTCACTCCCAGGAGCTTTCTGGAACCTTAAATGGTCTGTGTGCTTCAGAGATTTTTGAAGGTTTGCTGTTGTGATGATATCCCAGATATGTCTTAGGGAGGGTATCAGATTGGAGTTAGAGGTGATACAGGCAGCTCACTTTGGATAAAGGTCACTGTTAGGACTGCTTTTTTTTTTAGGATTTATTTATTAATTTTATGTATATGAGTACACCGTTGCTGTCTTCAGACACACTAGAAGAGGGCAGCGGATCCCATTCCAGATGGTCGCGAGCCACCACTTGGTTGCTGGAAATTGAACTCTGGAAGAGCAGCCAGTGCTCTTAGCCACTGAGCCATCTCTCCAGCCCCAGGACTGCTTTTTATTGCAGTGTTGGCCACTTTTTATTGACCTTTTTTTCTTTTCTGGTTTATCTTTAGACTGATACAGTGAGCACATGTGTGCATGTGGTATTTGTGCCCATGTACATATATGTGCCATGTGTGTTTCTATGTGGAGTACATATGCATGGTTTCTGCTATGAAATATAATGCAGAGTTAAGGGGGCACTTGGAGGGCCCATCCCAAGATGTCTTCCTGAGAAATCCCACCTTGTGACAAGACCTGGTATAAGGGAGGTCTATTGTGGGGGAAGGGAAGGGAGCCAGACGGGGGGGGGCAGAGAAGGACAGAAAGAGAAAGGGAGACTGGCTGGGAACATGTGGGAACAGAGAGAGGAAGAAAGTGAGAGAGAATAAGGGAGAGAGAAGGGAAGAGACAGAGGGGCAGGGCTGGGGTAACAAACAGTCCTCTTATAAGCTACCAGGCTACCCATACCTGGTGGCAGCTCAGGTAGCAATGGAGGCAGGTGATGACCTAAGCTGTTGTTAGGTCTCTGTTGCTAGGTGCCTGGGAGGAGCCTACCAGAATCACCTGTAAGCCAATAGTGTCCTTGGCTTCCTTCCCACAGGCTGCTGATGTGGCTCCCTGATATCCAGGATGATATCCAGTGGCTACAATGGGCGACATCCCAGGTTTGTGCCCGAATGACGATGTGCCTGCTCCCCTCTACCAGGTAAAAATACTTTGGCCTAGGCTCTGTGGGCCAGATGGGCATCCATGTTGTTCCCAGAGCTCTTAGGGTCAGAGCTTGGGTCTTGCCGAACCTAACGAGCCAGGCTCAATGACCTGACCTCAGCATGCCGATTAAAGAAACCAGTAGCAGAAAAAGCAGATTTATTTGAACACGAAAAGGTTCAAGCCAACCCCCTCTCCCATTAATCTTTAGGATAACAACAAGAGGCTTAGGTTTAAATTGAGGTCTTAATCAGGATGTCCTGATGACCATTGTCTGGGCCTCAGTCTCTCCTGTGAGGTTCCTACTTTCTCTCCCTAGCATGAGGTTCCTAGGGAAATCTCAGTTCTTTGACCTCTGTTGTATCAAAGGGCTGAGAGTCAGAGGGAGGGCATGGCTGTCTCTTCAGCGTGTCTTTCCTGCCAGAACAACTATAAGGCTTTGTGCTCAGGTTACATGCAAACATTCTAGCAATGTCTGACTCTGTGTCAAACAGGTGACAAGAGCATGTTGTTGTGGAGGAGACCCATGGTCCAGTTGTGGGCTTGTTGGTGGGTGAATCTGTGGATGTTTACCAGGGTGTTCAGGTGGTGGAGAAGGCCTCAGGGGACTGGACTGTCACCTCAGCACTGAAGGCAGGAGGAAGCTGTGGCTCTGGGCTGCACCTTTTCAGTGACCAGTCGTGGCCCCACCCTCTCTCGTATCTGTAGAAATTACTGCTGGTTTTTTCTTCCAGCCCCATGCTCCCAGAAATAAGACTCAGACTCAAAATATATTTACAAATACCTTGGCTATATAGCTGGTTCTTCTCAGACTAGATATAACTTAAGATAACCCATTGATTTTTAACCTACATTCTGCCACATGGCTGGTGACCCATGCTCAGGTACCATGAGTCTGTCTCTTCACATCTTTCCGGATGAATCTCTGACTCTGGCTCTACCTCATAATTCTTTCTGCCTCCTGGATGTCCTGCCTTCTACTCTACCTTTTCCTATAGGCCATGGGTTTTTTAATTGACAGGTGATGCAGCCATACAATCTACAACATACTCTCACTACAGGTATCTGTTAGGTTTTGGTGAAGTGTAGAGTTCTAGAGAACTCTGAAATTACTGGGGAGTAAGGAGTTTATTAAGTTTATTGGAGGAGTTATTAATGCCATGGACAGACAGACATCAGGAAAATGGCATAGTAGGGGCTACCAGAGAGTTCAGGCCCCAGCATCAGAGATAGAAGCAGGGTGGGGTCTTTGAAGAGATTCTGAACCCACACAGTGGAGGAGGGAATCTCTCTTTAGACCTTTTGAGGTTGAGGGAGGTGGACAACAAGAGACTACAGCCAGGCTCGAGGCAGGGAGGAGGTGGGGAGCAGGATGTAACCCCTTTGATGCAGACTCACTTCTCGGGTGGAATATTATGAGATGCCCGTCAGCATCTGTGAGAAGGAGACGTGAGCGGAGTCTGGATTCTGACATCAATCACATTCTCACAGTACTGAAGACCTGAGGGCCTTGGGAAGGGCCTGCAGCCTTACTTCCTTTTTTCCTTCCAGATCCCGAGTATCCAAGGATGAGCATGGAACACTCAACCATGGACATCACCCATCTCTCCACAAACCCCAAGGCAGCTCTGCTGGTTTGTAAATTGCTGGTCTCTGTGCTTCCAATGAACTTGGACATTCTCCCTGTGGATGGTCCAGGAGAGGCCAAAGCTGAGGGCACCCTGCCTTCCACTCCAGGTCCAGCTTGACCTTTATCTGGAGCAACAGTGTCTAGATGACGGGTCGGTGGGGATGCTATACTCTCTGTTTCCCTCTGGGAATGGTTCTGTTACTTTTGGAGGCAGCTAGGAAGTTTCTCTCCAGGAGCTGAGCCTGTGCAGCTGCCCCCTGGTGCTCTGTGGTGACCTCATTGCCTGTGACCTCAGGATCACGGGATCTAGGCTATATTGGTAGTTCATAGAAACCAAAGACAATAATTTGGTGTTTAGAAAGCTACTTTTGGTCTGGGTGAAGTCTGGTGCTTGAGAGCTAGCACAAAGAGGACAGTCAAACTGTCTCTCGGCCTGTCAATCGGGGATTCCAAGGGCATCAATGTTTGGAAACAGGAATCCAAACTGGGCAATCTCGTGCAATCTCGGGAGGAAAATTGTTTAGGAAGTGTGATAGGGCAGGCTGTGGCTATCTCTAAAAAGAGCCTACCAGATAACTTATTACTTTCAAGGACACCTTTGGCTCTTACTAAAATAGTTTATAAAGCATTTTATATAAACACACCAGGGAATGTGTAATGAACTACATGTATGATCAGTGTACTGTGACTAGAATTAACCGTAAGATAAAAATCTCTTGTATGTGGGGACGAAACAACACAGGTAGGAAACACAGCGGACCTCTGCCTCCTCAGCCTCAACTTGAACTTGGCTTGCTTTCTCTGCTGTCTCCAAATCGTTGTATAGTCATCTGCCATCACCGCCTCTCTCCTTTCCCATCTACTACACCGGCCTTAATGGGGATAAGTACCCACTTTTCTCAGGTGTCGGTACACAGCCGTGGGGGTGTCGTGTGTTTCCTGTAATTCAGACATTAGAACATAAACAAGCAGACAAACAAGCAAGCAAACAAAAGAAACAAGGTGCTGTTCATACTCTGAGCATTGACAGTGAAGGTGTGTGTCTCCCATGCCTGAGTCTCCTGGAGACCTAGTGAGCTCTAGGTTCGTGCAAGCACTTCTGGGGGAATCACATAATCTCAGTGGGGTTGATCCAGATTGATAGGAAAGGACTCTGGGGGAGACTGTGGTTCCAGAGACAAAGTGTCTAGGCTACACAGAAGATAAAATCGTCCCAAGGGAAGAAAACAAACCAGGAGCTGAGGTGCAGCTCAGTTGTTAGAGGGCTTCTCTAGCATGCATGAAGCCCAGTGTCCAGTCTCAGTACCATATAAACTGTGGCTTGACAGGCAGTGACATGTGCCTGTAATCCCTCAGTAGAGGCAAGAGGATCAGAAATTCAAGGTCATCCTCAACTACTTAGGGAGTTGGAGAGCTGCCTTGGCTAAATGAGACCCTGCCTCAAAAAGACAAAAAAAAAAAAAAAAAAATAGCAGAAACTTCTGCCTTGCTTTGAGCTGCCTCTTTCTGGAAGTTTCTCATCAGTAGAAACTTCCTGCCACCTTATCAGACAAAACTCCCACTGGTTTGGAGTCCTTCCATTCTCAGGAACATTAGGTGTCACACAGTGACCAGCAGGGAGCAGTGTCTTGACTGGTAAGCCCTTAGCAAAGCTGGTTCATCCGTTTAAAAGTAGGTGTGGGTGTGTTTATGCAAATGAGTATGCAAATTAGCCGAATAGCAGAAGGATTGAACGGACACACCAAAAATAACTACAACTGTTCAAGGGAAAAGGGTCCATAATAAATGTGGGGGACAATAAATAAATAAATAAATAAATGTATGTAATTTAATAAAATGTCTCTTCTGCCTCTCCTACAACTAAAAGGGACTGTGGGACAGCCTCCTCTGTAAGTTTGTGTCCTCCCTTGTAGGCCTGCAGGCTGGATGTCCTCCACACTGTGAAATACATGACTGGGTTGGTGCTATATAGCCCAGGCTGGTCTGGAACTATGTAGCTCAGACTCACTTGAATTTTTCCATTCTCCTGCCGCAGCCTTTCCAATGTCATGTTCACACACCTCCACACCAGCCTGGAATGTACATTTTTAGGAACCACTGGAAAAGGACAATAGTGTGGTCTCCAGAACACATGGAGGGAAAATCTGGAGCAAGTAACTGTGACAAAGGGCTGGGTATGCATGTGACTCTCCCCGGCCACAGGTGAGGCCAGTGTAGCCTCAAAGACTACAGGAGCACTCGGGTGGCACATCTAGGAAGGGCATCAAACACAGAGGGCTATCCTGAACAAATGCTTGGATTGTGGACAGAGTGTTCAAGGCTTCAATTGTCCCCAGTGTAATGCCAACAAGGGGGAAGGGCAGGGATAGTTTTCTGATGAATGATTACACTTCCCAGCTTCCTCTTGTGGACTAGGAAGTCATTTCTATCTCTGTAAGGGACTTTTTCGCCTGTAGCCATTTGGCCACTTGTACATGTGGGTGACAAAATGCCCCCTCATTTTTTTTTTTTTTTTTTTTTTTTTTTTTTTTGGTTTTTCGAGACAGGGTTTCTCTGTGTAGTCCTGGCTGTCCTGGAACTCACTCTGTAGACCAGGCTAGCCTCGAACTCTCGAACTCAGAAATCCACCTGCCTCTGCCTCCCAAGTGCTGGGATTAAAGGTGTGCGCCACCACTGCCCGGCTTATGCCCCCTCATTGTTAATAAACACGATCCTACCTAAGGTCAGACCAAGGTTCTTTCTGTCTTCTCTCCCTCTACAGCTGCTTTTTAATAATCTAACAAAGAGAGAACATGCAAGGGCTAAAGTTATGTTTTAGGTTTAAATTACTGTGGTCAAGAGACCTATTTAGGGCTGGAGAGATGGCTCAGCGGTTAAGAGCACTGACTGCTCTTCCAGAGGTTCTGAGTTCAATTTCCAGCAACTACATGGTGGCTCACAACCATCTGTAATGGGATCTGATGCCCTCTTCTGGTGTGTCTGAAGACAGCGACACTGTACTCACATAAATAAATAAATAAATAAATAAATAAATAAATACAGAGAGAGGAGAGAGAGAGAGAGAGAGAACTATTAAAAAAAAAAGGGGCTGGAGAGATGGCTCAGTGGTTAAGAGCACTGACTGCACTTCCAGAGGTCCTGAGTTCAAATCCCAGCAACCACATGGTGGCTCACAACCATCTGTAATGGGATCTGATGCCCTCTTCTGGTGTGTCTGAAGACAGCTACAGTGTATTCATATATAATAAATAAATCTTAAAAAAAAAAAAAAAAGAAAAACCTCTAACCTGTAAGCCCCACTTGCCCCAGGACAGATAACTTCCTGGAATGCTGGAGGCTGTTGTCCGTGTAAGATAACTTCTGCAAACAAGCTTGGTAGCCCCAACTGCACAGGATGTTTTGATCACATATAGGTGAGAGGTATGTATATAGGCAGGAAGTATGTCAGGATGTATGCTTGCCTTCAGTGGATGAAGACTGAAAGTACATAACCTTGTGGGCTTTGCCTTTGTAAGCATTTTGGTGTCATAGTCTGGGAATTCTGGGTATGGACCTAGCTAGAGTCCATTGTCCTGGCCATTAATAAAGCTTGCTTCAAATTTGTCTCAGAAATTGTGACAGTGGTCCTATTCCTGGCCACTGGTATAAACAGACATTGTGAGTTATGAATGACTCTGGGTCCTTAGGGCTTTTTGTTTGCTTGAGACAGGGTCTCTCTATGTAGCCCTGGCTGTCCTGGAACACTATGTAGACCAGGCAGCTGCCCACATGCAGCCCTCTGTTTTGAGTCTGACTTTGGGAAGGAAAGTAGCTAAGTACTGCCCTTGGGTACCCTAGTTTGGGTTAGGATAGGGAACATAGCAATTACTTATGAGTCCCTGCATGGCACCAGGCTTGGATTCACGAGAATATGGGCCCCATCTTTGCAATGCCGATGCGGTACTGAGAATCCAGATGGATAGGCTACGGCAGGGAGGCAGTGACAGGGACAGAGCTGGCTGATAGGCTGCTTGAAGGTTTCTGCTGCTTTCCATGCAGGAAGAACATGGACTTTGAAAGTGTGGATGCCAGAAGATGCTGCTTAAAGAGAAAAAGGTGCAGGAGTCTCCTGGAGGGAGAGGATGGAAAAAGGAGCTAAGCTTTAGCCATCCAGGGCAGCGGTGTCAGGTTGCAAGTCAGAAGACAGGTATCTCACTCTATCTCCAGTAAACTGCAGTTCAGAGTTACAAATGGCTTTTACTACATTGTTCTTTTGAGGCACAGTAGCTGTTTCTGCTACCAAAACACAAACGCACAGCTGTCTGATTTATTTATGTAACTGCCCTCACCTGAACCCCGAACACACAAGAGAGCTCCATTCATCTTTTTAAAAATATGAATCTGGGTAGGTAGTGGTGGTTCATGCGCCTTTAATCTCAACACTTGGGGGCCAGAGGCAGGTGGAGCTCTGAGTTCGAGGCTAGCCGATCTACAGAGCAAGTTACAGGACACTCAGGCCTACACAGAAAAAACAGCCTCGAACACACACACACACACACACACACACCCCGCATAGACCCTTTGGAGACACACACACACACACACACACACACACCCTTTTTACTGGATCCGTAGGAAGGTGTTACGGTATTGAACCTAGCCAAGCTCGAACACACACACACACTCACACACACACCCCCGCATAGACCCTTTGGAGACACACACACACACACACACACACACACCCTTTTTACTGGATCCGTAGGAAGGTGTTACGGTATTGAACCTAGCCAAGCTCGAACACACACACACACACTCACACACACCCCCCGCATAGACCCTTTGGAGACACACACACACACACCCTTTTTACTGGATCCGTAGGAAGGTGTTACGGTATTGAACCTAGCCAGGCTCCATGCTCGGTTCCAGGAGCACACACTCTCTCTTCCCTACGCCCTTCTGGTCGGTCACACTTTAGAAGTGGAACTGAGGCTCCAAGGACTAGACCAGGGTAAGCCGCCATGGAACAAGGGGCTCAGCTCCATTGCCTTTCCACAGACCAGCTCTGCCAATACCCGCAGCTTTCTGGGAGTCCCTGCACGCTCTACGCTCGCACTGGGCTTCCCGGCGTTCTTGTGAACATCCGGGTCACTGTCTCATACGGACCAATGAGCGGAGGCCCTAGAGTCAGGGGGCGGGCCCTAGGCGGTACAACATGGCGGCGCTCAGCACGCAGCTTCCGTGACCTGTAGCCGCGCGTCTGTGTTTGTAGCTGAGCTGGGGTGGGCGCGGGCACCTCCGCGGGGCAGCAGCCGGAGAGGGAGCCATGGGGACTGTGCACGCCCGGGTGAGAGGCCCCGCGGCGGCTGGGCGGGACGCGCGCGCCTGCGCCTGGGGCAAGGGCGGCAGCGAGGGTGTGGGAGCTGCTTTGGGCCCGAGGCTGTCGCGGTCGGGAGGGCGGTGGTGACTTGCACAAGGTCATTCCGCGGAATTTTCCCGAGTGACCTTACAGCACCGGCCTCGATAGGACCACGGCATGGAAGAAGGGTCTGTCAGAACACAAGACACAACAAGTTGTTTTGCAGTCTTGTTTTACAGTTTCCAGTTACTATTAGGTGCATGAGTGTTCGCATGTGTGTATGTGCACTTTGTGTGCAGAGCCTGTGGAGGCCAGAAGGGGGCAATGGATCCCCTGAAATTGTAGTTCCGGAGGGTTATGAGCCTCCTTGTAGGTGTCAGGAACCACTCTGGTCCTCTGCAAGAGCAGCAGGTGCTCTTACTTGCTGAGCCCAGTGCTATTGCTTTAAAAATTGTGTGTGTGTGTGTGTGTGTGTGTGTGCGCGCGCGCGCGCACATATGTGTGGCCATGTAGAGGTCAGAAGACAACAGTTGGAATGAGCGTTCTTCTTCTCCTATGTGGAGTCTGGAGACAATCGAACTCTGGTGATTAGGTCCTAGGGACAAGCTCCTGTACCTGCTGAGCTGTCATCACTTTTGAATTGGCTTTTATTTGCCACCTGGAATTGGGCAGCATCTTGTTCTATACAACAGAATGACCTTCCTTCCCATCCATGGGCAAAGCAAACCATAAAAGAAACTTGTCCTGTCTCAGCATCTACTCCTCCCCTGTCTCTGCCTTTGTAGCCCAGGCTGGCCTCATATTAGTAGTCTTGTCTAAGCTTCTGAGGGCTGGAATTACAAGCATGTGTCCGTATCCTTGGCTCAGTTACTGTCTTTGAATCCTTGATTGTGGCTTTTTTGAGGTTTTTGCAGTTCTCTTCCCCATGTCTCCTATGGTCTGATGAACAAGTTAGTTACTGCTTAGGGACACAGAACTCCTTCATAACCCACTCCAGTGTAAGGGGAGGGGCAGTGTAGTACCTTAGTTCCAATCAACAGCCAATGTCTGTTACTGAATAAGTAGTTGGATACTTCCTGCCAAACTTTCCTTTTTTAAATTGTTCCCCCAAAGCCAGAGAATGTTACAGATCCTCTGAATGCCCTAAAATCAAGACCCATGGCGTCCTGGAGCCAGCACCACACAGAGTGGACACCATCACTTGCCCTGTGACACATTTTTTGGTAGTGTCCCTTAACTTGCAGTAGCACTTAGCACAGGCATCTCTCACAGGGCTCTTTCCCACACCACTGCACTAGAGACACACTCTTCAAACTGTCCTGTTGCCCTGGGTTCATTCCCAATCCAATTGCTCATGGCCACACCCATCTTTACCTAGAAAAATAGTCACATCTCTTAGAACTCAGGTTTAATTACTTTTCCAGTACCTTCCTGAATACTGCAGAAACCTATTAGGCAAGCTCCTCCCTAGCAACACACTTACCCTCTGGGCAAGCACTCGGTGAGCTATATCCATAGATATCTTTAAATGCTTTCCTTCACTAGGCTGTCAAGGCCAGCCTTGAGCTCAGTCTATAGTCCAGGCTGGCCTTGAATTTGGAATCCTTCCTACCTTTGAGTAACTGAGTTTACAGATCCAGTAGCTAGGCATGGTGCTACACACCCTTAATCTCAGCACTCAGGAGGCACGCGCAGTTGGATCTGTCTTGAGTTCAAGCCCAGCTCTGTCTACTCAGTGAATTTTAAGCCAGCCAAGACCATATAGCGAGGCTCTGTCTGTAAACAAACAGTATGTGGTGAGTGAATCTCCAGTAGTAAACAGTTCCTGGAGGATACCGAGCTATGGCAGAAGTGTGAACCACAATAACATCTGCCCTCCAGATCGTGGGGCTTGGTGGTCTCTAATGAACTTTTTTTCATGCTTTGCCGTGTCAGGAACCATCGGAATCTTTTAGAATAATGGAATGCAAACTTTGCTCATACAAGGCGTATTTGCCAACTGTTGGGTTAAGACTGGATCCACATGCACGTTCCTCCTTTGCCTAATGTCATACTTAGAAGAAGTTAATATAGTGTTTTAGTTTTAAAAATATTAACAGCAGAAAACCAATAAATAGCAACACAAATTAATGTATAATTTGTCATCCATGGTAAGTGCCCATATTGGCATGTAACCAATGCCAGCCTGAGTGCCAGGCATTTATTTCTTTCCCCCTCACTAAGTAAAAGAGCAAAAGAGAATTACATTTAATCAGTATCTCATGAATAGGAATTGAGTACAAAAAGAAGAAAAGAAACCATCTGAAGTCACAAATTTCTAACATTTAAGAGATGTCCCTTTGGACCCAAGCATGGTAGCTGTAATCCCAAAAAGTTGGGGGGTTGGAAGCAGGATCAGAATTTCAAGACTGTTCTTGGCTATTTAGTGAGTATGAAACCATCCCTGGGTACATGGTATGTGAGACCCTGCACCCTGCACACATGGGTTCTCGTTCTCTCTCTCTCTCTCTCTCTCTCTCTCTCTCTCTC